ATCTGACTCCACATGCTCTACTCTGTAATCCTACAACATCTTTCTCCTCGTTCTTTATTGTGCTCCACATGCCTTCTTATCTTTTTTATAAGACTTAAATACCACTCTTGGTGACAAAGATCCACCCCTGGAAACACACAAAGGATCTCATTACAAAAAGAGGGAAGACATAGCCAGCTGCACTCAATCTTTGCCTTTGTGTGCACACTGGAAACAACACATCCACAGCGTTGGTTAGTTAGTTCACTTTGTTAAAGACATACAAGGGTCCATAGCAAGAGAACATTTACACAAAGGCACAGATTTAAAAACAAGCTGGTTTTCAGAGGTCAAGACAAAACGTAAAATAGTCCTTTCAAAGACCGATAGTTATCCCTGCTGTTTATTTGGTCAGCTTTGTCTTTTATGTTGGGTGCTAACATAACTGATAGAATTGAGCGGCAGAATCCCGTGGACTAAGAACCAAGCAGAGGTTTTCTACGAGCAAATGTTCAGCAGATATCTGATCCATCCCACGTGGCCTTTTGTCTTTAATGTTCTATTTGCGTCATAAATTTCTTCTGAAGAAACTGTAACATCTTCCTGTCCAAAGCTGGGACGCCACTAACACCGTCAATATTAGCTGGTGGATGTTGTGACATCACTCATTCGTTTAATTACTTTCTAGAAATCATTGACAAACTTGTTCACCATTTGTTTGCCAGGGATTGAGATCTCACAGTGTCTTCATTCCTTTTAAAACATATACTTAAATTAGCATTTGTGCTTTTGTTATATTTAAACAGAGGAACATATTGATGCCTCCCTGACTCCGCCCTAGCTTTAGAGACCTTCTGGCCTCAGCATGAAGCTCTCATTCCAACCTGGTTCAGCACATTTCAGTCTTACACAAGTAAGGACTCCACAATATTTTCATCTAAAGAACAAAACTCAGCCCCATGTTGGGGTTTATACAGCTGACATCATTACAGGCACCAGGATGTACTCAACCTTACTCAGCCAGTCTACTTTTCCATGCAATAAGCTGGAAGGGCAACATTGCCTAAATTTAGAGATGACGGCACACATGCTCAGTAAAAGCTGATATAACTAATACTCATAGACTCTACAGAGTCATGGCCTCAGCTGTGCAGGTACAGCGATGTTGTGTGCCATGCCTCGCTGCTATGAGTGTAGCTATTATCAGGCAAAAGCACTTTACTAGAGCTACTGTTTGATACGTCCACATTCATATCACCCACAGTAAAAACACATGTAGAGGCAGTGGCCTGAATAAAAGACATGACAACCTGTTACGATAGTCAACCTCATTCTGGGGACACTCGTGAGGAAAATCTCACTGGGCTGCTGTGTTTAGCAGTTTCTTACTTTTTCCTTTCCTCACTACCAAGCTCCTCGCTGGGAACAAAGGTTGGGCATGCCAGCCCTGTTCCTCTGGCTGTGGAGGTGGTGCTATAGGCTCCTGTACATCTTCCTCATGTCCTGAAACTCCTTCAGCTCTCTGGATTTAACCAGGCAATGTGTGGAGCTCCTTGACTGCCGTAATCCGACGAGCCATAGCGACCACTGCCGGCTCCAAGTCTTTGCTAATGCTTCGCTGTGCTTCTAAGGCCTCATGCATGCTGCAGACTCAACCACCACTTCATACTGCTGAGTAAATCGGAGGCGTCCATGTTGCCAAATCCAGGAGGTGAACAACTTGAACAATTTCGTCCAAGAAGTGCAACACAAATCGGAATACTTTCTCCACACTCATTAAGCACTTTAAGGCAGTCCTTAATGTTGTTTGTGTCCTGCTGGGGACCCTGGTGTTTGACAGTGTACTGGAGTTGTGCACATCTCAAACAAACAGCCACATGGACTGTTTTTTTTTTTTCATGGGTTATAACACGATTTCATCATGTGATTTTGATTACAATAAAGTACAAAAACTCATCACCCACTCTCACCTTCCCATCGGCTGTTTTTGGAAATAGAAAACTGGCTTTATTCATGTATATGCAATAACTCGAGCACGCACGCCACACCCGCAGCCGTATCTACCAATACATGCACAGGGACTCATGCAAGCTTAATCTGATGCTGTTACTTGTCTTGCATTTCAGCAGTGCATGCTGGTTACAAGCTTTCAAAACAACAACACAAATATATGGATATCTAGCATCGGGAATACCAAGCAAATATCACACAGACACAACTAATGAAACGAAACACAAACAGAACGCAATAAGCACTCACAATGTTTCAATGTGTGTGTGTGTGTGTGTGTGTGTGTGTGTGTGTGTGTGGTGGGAAGGCATTGATCAAAGCAGCTTAATAGCTAGGTTCAACACTGTACTGTTCCTGTTGCGAGCTGAAGGCTACTTCAGTCCTCATTACAGCCTCCGACAGGAGGCAGAGACAGGAAATGAATCCTCTGCAACTCTGAATCTCCATAAATCACAGCAGCACACAAAGAACACTTTAGCTCCTCTCAGAAAGCAGAAACTTGCACACACAAACACATGCACTCATGCCTAAATTTAGATATACACTTTAATGGGAGACAAACACACATGGAGGCTGCATGCACACACCCACACACAAAAGCAGCAGCGTCAGTGCATTTTATTTCAACTCCTCATCTGGTAAAAACAAGCCTGCCCCAGTGGGCTGGAAACTCTTTCCCTATTAAAGTTACACTTTCTAAAATCCAGGTACGTTAAAAGAAGTCACTTCCTGGCTGCCACAAGCAGGACTAATCCCCAGGCAACTCAAGTCACATGTTACTGAGTGACACTGCTACAAATACAGTATTTTATTAAAAATGTGACAGAAAACTGGCCAAAAGCTTTGATCTGTTGAGTTTCAGAGCTCAAACTAATCTATACCCGGCCTTCTGTCTAAAAACATGCAGATCATGCTGCAAGGTAGCAGCAGTCTAGATCATGAAAGGGGGCAAATTTACACGAACCAAGGGTTTCTATTTTTATGACCTATTCGCAGAACTTTTTGACCCTATGCTTGAAGCTCAGTGCCAACTATATTCTAAATATCTGCGGGACACCACAGCTTCTAATGCTGCCCACTAATTATCGCCATATATCTGCACCCCCATCGCATTTTTTCCTGCCCCAAGGCTTTTGATCATAGATAAAGGTTGGCAATAAGAGGATGGAGTAACCCCCACTTTTGCACCTTGCACATCCTGACCTAATGATGCCAAGAGGACAGTGCATAAGCTGCCAAAACACTCTCCATTTTAACAGCCTTCATCTTCAACAGAAGATGATGCAAAATCCACTTGTTTCAGAAACCAAGTGCCTAAAAGAACAAGCCTGACTTCAAGCTGAGAATGAGAAGGTGGTTTTTATTTAACTGCAGCACACTGGTGACACCTCAATTATACGGAGCCCCGCAGGGGACATGGGAGAAAAAAAAATTAAGACGGACTTCTGCGAGATCTCTCAAAAGTTTTGCGAAATCTCGCAAAACAAACTCGGGATCTCGCAAAACTTTTGCGAAATCTCGCAAACGTTTTAGCCGCATTCTTCGGACGCTGGCTCAAAGCCGACCGGGAGGTCGAGGCACGATGTGTCGGGAAAGCGGTGTTCCTCCCGGCTGTAGGAGGTCAAGACCTCCCGTTAGCTTCGAGCTAACGGGAAGAATGCGGCTAAAACTTTTGCGAGATCTCGCAAAAGTTTTGCGAGATCCCGAGTTTGTTTTGCGAGATCCCCAATTTTTTTTCTCCCATGTCCCCTGCGGGGCTCCGTACAATTATGGTTGAAGCAACAGCCGTTAACGAATTTGATGCACCCAAATGTGTGGTTCAACAACACCGCACAAAACAACAACAGAGAGACAAAACCACAGGAGGACTTAGAACAGGACTTACCTATGATGGAGAACCCGCCGAGGCAACAATCATCACAGAACATGGAAAATAAAATCAACAAAATTAACAATTACAGTTTGGCCTTTTGGAACCGTTATACTTCAAGGAGACGGGGTAAGAATTGTTATTGCGTAACACCTTTAGTGAAAAAACAGGACACCCGCTTTTATTTATTTTTCCAACAAAGACAGGCAGCGACAGTAGTGAGGAAAACAGAGTTAACTGGATGCAGGAAAAAGAAGACAGAGTGACACCATAAGCCCTGGATGCAAAGGAAAGGGATAATGATCACAGGGTTAACAGAGACCTGGATAGAAGAGAAAATTACAGGTTTCGTTTTGATTTGGTGAAGATACCTACTGGTGCTGCTAGGAAGGAAGACTGTGAATGGTTAGTAGTGTCACACCTGTCAACAGCAACACTGTTAGTCATGAGAACACCTCAGCAGTGCATCATTGGGAACAGGATACTACAGATAAAAGGGATGTTTCAGTGTCTTTTAAGTAGTTCTGTATAAGGTGCTGATTCGTACTCGGTGTATTATATTCAGCTTCCTCCCAGTTAGGAGATGCAAAGCGTATACGTACTGTAGGTGTTTAAAGCATCAAAGATGAGGCCCCGCTAAATGAGCAACTCTGTCTTTGTCAAAGTACTTATAGCTGTTAAGACTAAGGCGTCAGGAAACTTATAAAGAGTGTCTGGTAGTAGTGTTGAGTCCTGAAAATACTCTAAATATAGCTTACAGTTACACTGACTTCGAGTACTGATTAATACCTTATACGATCCCACTGCAATGAAACCCAAACATCCCTTTAGAGTCAAGGCAATCCACAGCCCTGTTGGTCAACACTTCAATCCATGCGTTAGTCACTCAAAAACAGCCAGCAAGCCTCAGCCAAGTCTTTAGACAAATGTATCCATGCAAGAACAAATGGGTGTAATGATTGACATAACCCCTGATGAATATAATACACACAAGCAATCAGTTCTGCTCAAGATATATCGGACGTCAGTTTCAAATATGGGAAGTACCCAAGCCGGATTGCAACATGCATGGCAACCATTTGTCTACATGTTTTAGTTACTTTATGTATTTCTACGTTGTCCAGGGGTGACTACAACCAACCTTCAACGAGAGGAACATCTTGATTGGCCACAGCTGGTTCTTCCATGGGATCGGCAAAGCTGGGAAAGAAGGGCTTAGCTGCAGGATTAAGACCAGATCCTGGAACTGCCAGAGGGGAGAACGATGGAGGGGAAGAGGGGCTGGTGACAGGCGATGCCATTGGAGAGAACCTTTTAGCTTCTGGGGAGGTTGGACTCTTAACAGAGGATGAAGAAGATGAAGAGCGTGGTTTCTTGGATTGTTTTGGGGATGATTTGCCTTCTTTGAGCTCTCTGGCTTGGAATTCCTGTGCTGTAGTTTTTGGGGAACGGAGAGGTGCTGGGCTTGGGGTGTCGAAGTTTAGGCCTAAGGGTAAAGGATGACCTAGCACACCCATGTCAGCAAAATTAAATAAATCGCTGTTGCTGCTCATATTTGAGCTGTTCAGAACCCATGAAGCATCAGACGGCGAGAGAGGTGGTGCTGAGGCTAACACCTCACCTTCGGGGGAACAATTTGGGCTTGGCTGGGTGGCAGGGCTGAAGGCGGAGGTGTCTTCCTCAGGTGTGGCTTGCTCACAACATTCCTGGAGAGAACTGCTGTTGTCAAACATGCCACTGTCTACCAGATTACCAACTGCTGCTTCATTCTCTGGAGAAAAAGGTGGCGAAATAGCCTCTTTGCTGTTGCCCAGACTTGCATTTTCGGTTTCCATCAAGAGATCAAATGGGTCACAACATGGAGGGGCCACAGGGAAGGAATCGAGTGATTTGCTGTTGGTGGTAGAGGGCATAGTAAACGGAGCTGCTGTGGCTTTCAGCTCACTGTTCAGGACCAGTGGGCTAATGGGAGCAGCTCCTGGGGAGAAAAGATCCTGAGACAGAGGGGAAGATACCAAGCCTTCATCTGGGTAGACCTCCTTTTTCCAGGGGCTCTGGCTTGAATCTTCATCTGCCAAGTAGGCCTCAAGGTTGTCCAGAGCTGAACTCCCAAGATCCATCATGTCCTCCTCTGTAATGTTAGAGGTCACAGCAGATGAAGGAACAAATGGTTCTGCCACTCCCCACTCCTCTGGAAGCTTCTTCCTGCTCTTTCCCTTCTTCCCTCGGCCTCCACTCTTCCCAAGTTGCTCCTCCCAACCACCCTCTGCTTTATCCCTCCTTGGGCCAATCCTATGATAGAACTCCTCTGTTGGTCGGGTGCTTTCTCCCAGTGCTTGCATCTCAGGGTGGCCCCTGCTCTCCAGTTGTTCGTAGGATCCCTCATCTTTTTGTCGTCTTTTCTTCTTCTTCTTTTGTTTTCGGTCTGATCCATCCCTGTCCCTTTCGTCGCCTCCAGCATAGGCAGCGCTCTCACGGCTAGGCCAACTGTCAGGTGGGTCCTCAGGGCTGGCTGCAAGATGGCTGGCATGTCGAGCAATCACTGTGGTGACACTTGGAGTAAAAGGGAGGTCTGTCGACAGGCAGCCAGCCTGGTCTGGCCAGCCTAAGGCACCTTGTTGTGGGTGAAGAGGGCATAGTTTAAGGTTGGTAAAGATAGATATGTGCATATTAACTTTTTTCCCTTAGTCTAAAACAAACAATACAGAGAAAGCCCAAAAAGTTGATTCAGGGTTGGTTTGAATCGGGGGTCAAGGAGTCCATTTACGTGAAAAAGCAAAGACCATCTCATGAGGTACTCATGGCCATTGATCAATGGTCTTTGATCAATGGTTGTTGATCAATGGTCATGACAATTTTCATACTAATGATCACGAAGCTGACCTCACAGCCCATTGTTCATTCAGTGGTGCTAATTTGTACTGTTCATAAATGTAGTGGAAATCTGGATTCAGCTGAAGAAGAAGTGAACTGGATGAAACGTTTCTCCCACGGAAAACGTCCAGATGAACAGAATCAACTTTTTGGGATTTCCTTACCTGGATGATTGAGCGTGCACCAAAACGGACAGAGAAATATCACACAGAGGCAAATAAATCACAAAAAGAAGACTGGGATTCTGATTACACAAACAGCGTAACATTTTATAGCCTCATTTCTGTTGCCCTTTAGTGAAGAAAGAGTGTGCATGTTCTCATATTCTTTAAGAGGATCTACTTACTTACAGTGGTCATATTGGCAATATTATGTTTTGAATAATAAGGTCAGCTTATTTGGAAGTAATCAAAAAGTAAAAAGGTTTCAGACTAGTCCAAATGCTCAGCTTCACACAGTTGTTTCTTTATAATGTCAGAGATTGGAAATAGTCTTTATATGATCATGGCAGCACACAGGCTCCGCCCAGTAGCTGGTTAAAGTTTGTGCTTGTGAGGGGCAGCCAACCAGAATGAAGTTGGATTTAAAGGAGAGGAGGGGAATTAAACAGTTAAACTTGTTTCAGACAATGGTTGAAATGTGGAGCTGCACAGAGGCCGAGTGAAAGATTAATGAAGAGTCTAAGAATCAGCTACAAATGGAAATAATACAACTTTAACACAGAGCGGATAAAGTAATCCAAACCAAGCCGTGATAGTCTGAAGATTTCTTCTAATATAATACTGACTGAGCAAATGGATAGTGACAATTAAACATACACACACACACACTTATATGCAGTATATGAGCAACTTAAAGGATGGAGACAAAAGGCTAATTTTGGGCGACTGACTCAGAGCAGCCTTGAGGACTAGTACACTGTGTACACTGACAATTAAGCTAGTAGCAAACGACGTAGCTTTGTGCAGGCACATGAGAATGTGTGCATGTAAGTGTGTAGTACCTAGAGTGAAGTGCCCAACATGCACACAATGATAGACACAGAAAGACATGGAAGAAATATCAAGAAGAATGCTTAATGGTCCCACAGAAAGGAGGTCAAACACAGGTCACTCTACTGTAACTAAAGCAGACTCCATTAGTTTTGTGCCACAGTTTAACATTGCTTCAGTAATAGAGGGCATTTATAATGGATGGCAGTAGTCAACCTGATTTCAGTCTAGAAGGGAGACGGTAAAGATAGGATGGCGAATGCACGATACAGGAGCGCTAACAAGAGCAGCGGGGACATCGTCCGCTGAGAGGAGGGGTGGCCCAGTTCTAGATCTCAGGTATATACATAAAGGTAGAAGAAGAACAGCTAAAGTGGAGCAGCTGTCAGGACACACACAGTACAGTACAGCAGCTCTCTGGAGGGCCATTTTTCATATTAACAAACACATGACACAACTGTGCTCTGTATGTATCAGGGGAAGCAGAAATGAAATGAAAGTACTGCAGTGTTTGTGCTGCAAAGGCTCGTTATTCTGGGGACGTATCACAGAACACTGGATGTGCATTTACTGTCACTCTGTAGTTATTCTGGATGTTTTCTAAAGGACTCGAGATGGAGTTTGTTACTGTGTCATGTAAAGTTGTCACAGTGGGATAATGTTACAAAAAGCTGTAAATGTTCCTGACCTGTAGTACCAACATGCACATATCAGCCACAACATTTAAAACACTTATATGTGAAGCGAACAACATTGATTATCTCAGTGTAAACTTCCAGGGCTGAAACGCCAATGCTGAACTGCCAGAAACTACAATTTGTCCAACGGCCACTTTAGGCTGGCTCCAAAATGCTCATGATGTCAGACTTCAGCTATGAAATGAGCATGACTGGTACAAAAGTGGCAGCCGTGACTCAAACAGCTCATTGAGTAATTAAAAGGACGCATGTCCACATGTCTTTTGACAAGATGCTGAACTAAACGACCCTGATGCATCCGTCAGGGTCGTGTGTGTGTGTGCAATAGTTTGCAAGAACTTCAAGTCATAGAGTCAAAATGACTGTGTGTGAATATGGGCTGTATTAAAAAGTGAAATGAAATCTCAGAGTATAAAATGTGACGTGAAATTGGCTTCAAAGGGGTTACGAATCAACAAGCATACAGTGAGATTTACAAATATAATGTGACTGCGATCCTCATGCAAGATTTTAAAAATGTGTCCCTCCAAACCTGAATAAATAACACACACCACTTCTTAAGTTTGGCTTCACACATTGGAAAACGTTCTTGTTCAAAACAAACCTACCACTTACAAAAGAAATACAGTGGCTTGCAAAAGTATTCGGCCCCCTTGAACTTTCCCACATTTTGTCACATTACAGCCACAAACATGAATCAATT